CACGCCGTTTAAACTGACGGCGGCGACGGCGACGGCGGCGACGACTCGATCCGCTTCTCGTTTTTATTTTCTTTTCGGTTTGGCTCGGCGTGCCGCTGTGTTTGACAGTGCTGTGCAGGGACCTGATTAAATTTGCCGCTCCTTGTTGTTGGAGTTTTGCATTGCTCTCGCGGCTCACATGCCGGTGTTTGTTTCTTGTATCTGTCTTGGATATTTTTCTAGAGCTATATTGCTGTATTAGGTATCTTGTGGGGAGATCTTCTCCGGCACGTGGCAAGGCTGTTGCTGCTGCAATTTTTACCATTGTATCGCTCTTTCGGTAATGACACTTAAGTTGCATGTTTTTTTGTCGAAGAAACTTCCTATCTATTCACAATCAATCAATCATGCAAGAACATTCGAGGAAACAAAAATTAAAATTAGGTCATGAACATCCTAGCGACGACTAGAGGCACTGTAACGAGTCGTCAACTCCTTATCGGAGCCGGACAAAACTTGTAGTAGCAGACAGTCAGTTAGGAAGTCGTCGTGCTAAGACCCCAAATGACCAACACACCAGAGGTTCAGTGATCACTAATAAAGAGAGTCATAGATTGGAAGGATCAAACATGTAAGTGATGTAAGCACATGAAGTCATGAACAAAGAGACGGATCCAAACAAATACATCTAAGAACCGACCGAATTCCACAAGATCCGACTGAGACACACCTCCAGAAGCCCCCTGATGACGCTAGAGGCACCATCCGGACGGGGATCAAATGTGGATTACTTTATTCCTACTTAGGGACATCGTCGCAGCCACACAGCCCCAAACAAGACATTAAAACCTAACAAGAATGAGAGTGGGATTCATCTGTCGACGAGGGTCGAGGTCCTCCGCACCTCCGCGGCGCAAAGGTCATCAAAGGATAGGGGACTGGTGGAAGCGCCATGTGAGTTGTATGTTAATTTCGAGTTTGGGAAGGTTGCCATTGATTTTTCTTCCTTTTCTTTTTGCAGGGGGACTCGGGAATTGGTTTATGAATGATCAAATTTTAGGTACCTGGGTTATTTCCTTGTAACGAGTTCATTGTTTTCATGAGAAATGCATCTGAATGTCGTAAGTAATTACGCCCCATTTACATTGTACACATGTTTTTTAGAAAACACAATCGGAATATACATTGTTGGGCTACCACGGTCTACACCCACTCGCTACATGCTACCGAACAACCCAACCGTACCTGAGCCAAATCCAACGGTTAACAAACTCAAAACAATATGTGAGGCCGTATGTAGCTGAGTTTATACTCCCTTGTAAAGAAATATATGAGCATTTAGATCACTAAAGCAGTGATCTAAACGCTATCATATTTCTTTACGAGGGGT